TATGCGGAAACATATCTATCTATATATATAGATATGTCATAAACGCTGTGGAAAAGAGATCCAGAATGGTGTTTAAGAGTCAAGAAAAGAGGAACCTCTAAACTCAGAGGCAACAATCCATCACAGATATCCAGCGGTGCAAAGACTTTAAGAAGCAGATTTCTGAAACGAGCCACAGCGATGATTCGCCCTCACATGGTTCCAGTTAGGCCAAGAATCATCTTCGTCGCTTCTCTTTCATTTGGCTTTGATTTACGAGGACTTCTCAAATACGACTTCTTGTGGGGGGAATAAATGTTTGTATCCTTGCAAGAACCAAAGTAAACTCAAACAACCATTCTGTTCAAATTGGCGACAGTTCAAGCGCACGCAACCATCGCCCTATGTGTCAGCGTCACAGCTACATAACCGGCGTTTAAGACCTCCTTAACTAGCTGTGGAATTAGTGACTTTTGGGCAAAGAGGCATGGATTATGCAGAGTTTACTGGCAGCAGGCTCAATTAGCCCCCCCCTTTTATTACAAATAAATCTTTACTCTATAGTTTACAGGAACTCTTACCTCTGAAGTGGTTTTCCTTTCTTCCAGCAGAGGTTAAAGGTCACACCAAACCACCACTCCACTCTGCGGCCAGGCTCTTATCCCCTACAAAGGAGGAAACAAAAAAAAACCACTCATTAGCTGTAAGTTCATCTAGCATCACGGATTGCATTCGTTGTACCTGCACTGCAGAGGGACTGAGACTCCGCTGCCGGAGCAGAACAGAGAGATTTTACCGTCACAAGAACGAAGAGGATTAACGATGAAGGGTGTTTGAGCGAGGGGCTTAACGAAGCGCAGACAAAACGACACTCGCTGCAAAGCTCTGGAAGAAATCAAGCGCCACTCGGTCGCCATTAAAAACGCTCCTCATCATCACTTTTAGAGCAATTCAGGTGCAGTAACCAAACGTGAATTCTGAGATTAAAGTCAGAATTCTGAGATTAAAGTCAGAATTCTGAGATTAAAGTCAGAATTTGCTTTGATTTTTCTTTTACCTTATTAATTGTTTAAAATCCCTTAGAGAGGTCAAGGTCGACAGCTTCAGATCTTTTTGCAAGGTGTTCCAGGATACAGGAGCGGAGCAAGAACAGGACTTTTTGCCGAAGTCCGTCGGCACTGAGGGGACACTGCAGGTAATGATGTCCTGAGAGCGCAGACTGTAACTGCACCGACGACATGACATGTGGGAGGAGATATAAGAAGGTAGCAGACCAAGGAGGGATTTACAGATGAAAATGTACCAGTGAGAGAGTCGCCGTGAAGCTAATGAAGTCCAGTTAACCAGTAAATACAGGGTTCAGTGATGGGAACAGTAGTTACAGCCATTTATGAATCTTAGCGCACCGTGATAGATGGCATCCAACATCTGTAAAGTGCAGGAGCATTCATGTAAATAATGTCACCGTAGTCAATGAAGGGAAGGAAAGTAGCAGTTACAAGGCGTTTTCTGGCATTCAGAGTTAAGCAAGATCTATTTCTGAAAAAGAAACCCAGTTTAAATTTCAGTTTCTTTATCACGTTTTCAACATACAGCTTAAAAGAGAGATGTGCATCGACCAAAATTCCCAAGAATTTGTAAAAATCCACAAACTCAATAAGAACATCATTTGTAGATAAGATAAGAGGAAGGACTGCTGGTACCACCTTCCTGTTTGAAAACAACAACCCTTTGGTTTTATCTGCATTTAGTACCAGTTTTAGATAGAACATATCTGACTGGATGATGTCAAATGCAGACTGTGGAAGCTGAAAAAACCTTAGCACCTGTTTTAGTTCGACAACAACTGTATCGTCGGCATAGAGATGTAAGGAGGTGTCTCTATCCTGGTAGTATTTTATTAAAATCAACACTAAAGCAATGCATCTATCCAGATATATAATCTAATATATATAATATCTAATAATACGTAATATATCCAGATGAAGCACAGCGACCGGTGTAGGTTGATAATTTCAAATACGAGTAGGCCTGTCATGATAACAAATTTTGCTGGGCAATTGTCCCAGAAATTATCACGATAAACAATAATATTGTTTGAAATTTGACAATTACTGTCAAATTTAAGAAGAAATCTTGGTTAATTTTGCATGTAGTACCTTTTTTGACCACCGGATGGCAGTATAAAACTGTTTGAACTGAAGGATGGATAGTGAGGGAGCGAGCAGCGTGTCGCTTTAAGAAAAATGGGAGGGAGGCCCCTTGACATGACATGGACCGTTTTTCGTTCCCGTTTTTCTGGTTCTCAAAATGGGGACACACTATGTGATTTGAGCTCTTTAGCAAAGCATGTCGCACAAAACGTTTAATAAATAAATAAAATCAGTAAAAAAGTGATCATCATCAATCATGCGATTAATTGAGTTATTGTTTATCGCGACAGGCCTATAAATCTAATCTAACAATACATAATATATCCAGATGAAGCATGGCGACGGCACAGGACAATAATTTCAAACACGAGTGCTAGGCTTGTCAATAAACAATAAATCAATTAATCCCACGATAAATGAAAATTATCGACCTCGTTTTCATTTATTGGCTTTATCGTTTCTTCGTGTCTCTCTCTTTCTACTGAAGACGCTGGATGACAAAAGGTTCAACTCCGGTGCTCTTCACTGACCCCTCCCTTTCTCTTTAAAATCTGTTTTAACCGTCCAAAATCACGTTTTGGGATCGTTCAAAGAAGCTAAGCTGAGAAGCTAAGCTAACAAGCCGACCTCAGGAAAAAAACCTCGTCTTCAAACTCCATAATTCACGGTTGAAACCCATGACTTTGTATAAAAAGTTGTTTTTCTCTGCAAAAAGAAGCTCAGAACTTGTTTACTGATTTTTTATTAAAAGCTTTGTGTGATAAATGCTATGCTAAAGAGCTTAAACCACACCGAGCGCCCGCCATTTTTAGAACTGAATAAAGGAAGGAGAGGCAGCCCATGTCATGTCAAAGGGCCTCCCTCCCGTTTTTCTTAGAGACACGCTGCTCGCTCCCTCACTAGCCATCCTTTGGTTCAAACAGTCTTATACTGCCATCTGGTGGCCAAAAAAAGGTACTACACAAAATAAATTAACCAACATTTCTTCTTAAATTTGACGATAATTATTGTAAAATTTCAAACAATATTATCGTTTATCGCAATAATTTCTGAGACGATTAATCGCCCAGCAAAATTTGTTATCGTGACAAGCCTAACGCGTGTATCTAACACTAACAAATCATTAACTCATCCTTAACGGTGCTGACTCATACGTCACCAGCCTGTTTTATCCAAAACAAACAACTGAGTGAGTATTGAGTGGAGAAAGTTGCGGCTGCAGAGTCGGAGCGCGTTGTAAACCGGTGTTTAAGAATGTCAGAGGCTGTGGCTGACTACAGACGAGCTATTCCTGCTGCTCTCAGCTGCTCATTTCATTTTCTACACACCAAATGTTCAGCCACGCCACGTGACGCCTCAGGCTGACACGCACACACACAAAAAAAAACATGCCTCCAAGCGTGTTTTCACAGCAAACAGACGCCTCGTAACAAAGAGAGTGTGTCAGGAGGAGCACGAGGACGTCCAGGTCAGCCTTTAGTGTGTCATAAAAAACATTTAATTGCCTGCTTAGATCACAGGCCGCCCCGCGTCACGTCCACGGTGTAATTTGTGCACAGTCTAACGTGTGAGACGACTCCATCAACACACGGCTGTTGGACAGGTGTGGCGGTGACACATGGACCTGCGCAGCTGCAGGGAACACACGGGCTTTAGTCACGGCGGCGCGCGGGGGGGGGGGGGGGGGGTCAACGAGCAGCTGCTCCGCTGCTGAAAACAAAGGCGTGCCTGCGACACACACATGCACGCGCACATGCAAAATCCAAGAATGAGCTGCTAGGCAAAGATCAGGGCAACACCAACTCTCCTTTATGGACAGACGCCAAAGGCTGAGGCAGGAAGGTCCGTTTGTCTGCAGTGTTAGCAAAATATCTCATGAATCACTGACTTTACTGGAACTCGGGTAGTATTTACTGAATATCTACAACGGGTTAATTCCCGATACACACCAACACCTACTCACTTACTAAAACAAATGATACATCGATGTCTCCCGTTAATGAAGTATAATGGAAGTAAACCTAAATGTTTCTGGTGCGAGATATTAAAGTTGGTAGGAGTTACATTGTGAAGAACAGAGGGAGGTTTATTTATTTTGTTTTGTTTGTTTGTTCAAGGAAGCGAGGAGTGACGGATCCTGGCGAGCGGAAGGAGACATTTTATCCACCACCAGGAGCAGTGGAGGAGCCAGGGGGTGGCCAATGGTGGTCTTGGCCCCCATAGATAAAACTTTAACTATACTTTTAGGCTAGGGGTGCACCGATTAATTTTGGAAAATTGGCCGATACTTCCATGAGAAACAGATTTTACCGATTTTTTTTTTGTTTGTTTTAACAACAATTGTCTAAACTTCATTTATATTTCAGAGCACTACCTCATGGCAAGTTAACACAAGTTTGTATTGTTTCTAGGATATTGTTCAAGGGTATGTCTGTCAATAAAATATTGAAAAAACTAAAGGTATATTGTGACCTTATAACACCTGACAGTGTCGCTTATTTAAAAAAAATAGGTATCGGCCAAAATCGGAATCGGCAGGTCAGACTTTTTAAAAATCGGTGATCGGACAGAAAACTGCAATCGGTGCACCCCTATTTTAGGCAATATAGAAACTAGTAAACATAGTTCAGTGTTTCCCCTGCATTACTTGCTTTGGTAAGGCGCTCATCTGTTTCGAGATATTTGTCGAAGAGGGTGGGTGAGTCAGTGGAGACCCGAGACACGACTGTGTAAGTACCGACAGTTTTCAGGAGGTTGGGAGACGGCTCAGCGTGAGGGAAGCAGAGCGCTACCTAACCTTTTCGCTATCGCGTGGGGATGTGCGATATGGAATAAAATTTATATCACGATATGTATTGTGAAGGGTGGAAATAACGATATCACGATATGTTTTTGGTATAAAACTTGCAACAGGAATGAAAAAAAACATAGGGTGTCGTTTTGCCATAATTTATTTTGAAAACTGCTATACCACAAAATAATCTCAATTAAGAAAATTCCACTACTAGGTCCAGAGAGTTTTTAAATAATAAACAAATCAAGTATTAGGCTTCTTTCTTGTAGTGCAAACAGTGCAAAAGATATCAAATGTAGTTTTAGCCATATGTTTTAAACAAAATAATATGTTGTTAACTCTTAACAGTTTCCAGTCTTACTTAAGAAATGAACAGCAACAGAGCAGCATTTTACACTGAAACACTTCACCCTCCAACCCTCTAGTGGGCGACTCCTTCCGCTTTAAGGAGAACTGACACAAAATGGCGACCAGTTTCCTCTGTAGCTTTGACCAGAGGGTCTCGCAGTAAAATCACACAACACAGCGTTCTTTTCACACATCAGAGAGCAGTTTTCTCTAAAGCTGACCAACGCTTATTTTAACTTTCGACGGAACACAGCGTTACGGCAACGCTACGGCAAGCCGGCCGTAGTTAGCTTGTAGCTTTACTACTTAGCTCTCAAAGAAACTATTTTAACACTACTTATGCAGTTTTCAACTAAAAAAAAGTA